CTGGGCAGGAAAGTTCTTGGCCAGGCTAGACTGCAGTCTCTTTTCTTGGAACTTTCTGCACCCACCTGGCCTTTAGTTTTTAAAAATGTATTTGGTTATTTTGCCTTCATGTGTGCCTCTGTACCATGTGCATGCAGTGCCCATGGAGGCCAGAAGATATTCCAGAACTGGAGTTAACAGATAATTGTGAGTCACCATTTGAGTGGTAGGAATTGAACCAAGTCCTCTGGAAGAGCAGGCAGTGCTGTTAACTAGTGGGCCATCTCTTTAGCTCTCCACCTGGCCTAGTCTTTCAGTGCTTTGGCCCTTCTATTCTTCCCTTCTAGAAGATATGAATCCTGGGCTCCAGCTACCTGCTGTGGGTAATCAGGGGGGATGGTGTGGAACAATGTGTTTTCAGGTACCAAGCAGGGGTACTGAACAGTACCAAGTTCAGATGTCCCTGAACTTACTACTTCTGTGGTGCCTTCTCTTAGCATCTGGGCAAGGAACCTCACCAGTGTTCCCGTGTCAGTATTATTTACTGTTTCTGTCTGTTTGGGTAGTTGGACAGGTTAGTCCAACACCAGGCCTGTGTCTGGTGCTTGTGAGGATGGAGGCTAACACTGAGTCTCAGGCTAGAGTACAGAGGCTCAGTCCTTAGTTGAGCTACATTGGGGCCACATTCTTGGAGCTTTGCTTATTGCTAGAGTATCTGACTCAGGTACAGAAAAATCTACCCCTGCCCTTTTATGCTTTGGTGAGTCTTTCTGCTCTCTGTCATGTCCTCTGCTGCTCACTGTAGCCTCTTGTCTCTGAACTAGACACTAAAGAGACCAGCACCTTGGGCAAGTGTAGCTTCTCCTGCCCCCAAATTGGGCTGTCTAGAAGGCTGGTTTATTGCTAAGAGTGCTATAGCTGTTTTCCTGGCCAGGATAACTACTAGAGATGCTGGGGTTGAGTGAGCTGTGATGGCACCACCAGGGCTGAACCCTCCTGATTGTCTCTTGCAGATCCTGAGTAATGCAAGGTTATTTTTAGAGAATCTCATCAAGTGAGTACCTTTTCTAAGCCCCTTACCCCACCTCAGCCTGCTCAGGCCATGGCCCACCTCTACTCAGGCCCCTATTGCCCCACCCCCAGGTATGGCATCCTGGTGGATCCCATCCAGGTGGTGTCTCTGTTTCTGAAGGACCCCTACAGCTGGCCTGCCCCATGCCTGGTTATTGGTGAGCTGTACTCCAAGAAGGGCAATGGGTGGGGGAGCAGGCTGACCAGGGCCTGAACCTGTGTCCCTGTGATGCTTCTGTCCTCAGTATCCAACATCTTTATTGTGGCCGCATTTCAGATTGAGAAGCGCCTGGCAGTGGTAAGGGTTACCCATCCTCTTTGCTCAAGTCACTGGTGGCTTGCTTGAGATAGGCTCTTCCTGCTAGGCCTGATAGTCCTCTCCTAGGTCAGAGGACCTGGTTGAATACTTTCTCCTTCTCTAGGGTGCTCTGACAGAGCAGATGGGGCTGCTGCTACATGTGATTAACCTGGCCACCATCATCTGCTTCCCAGCAGCTGTGGCCTTACTGGTTGAGTCCATCACTCCAGGTGTGCCTCCCTCCCAACCATCCCAGCCCATGTTGAGCTGATCCCAAGTTGTTCATGTGATGTGGGTGGTCACAGCTGAGCCCACCTTTCCTGTGTTAACTGTGGTATATGGGCAGCCATGGCTAAGCCACCTATCTTGCAGTGGGTTCCGTGTTTGCTCTGGCATCATACTCCATCATCTTCCTCAAGCTCTTTTCCTACCGGGATGTCAACCTGTGGTGCCGCCAGCGAAGGGTCAAGTCCAAAGCTGGTAAGAGGCTGTCAGGATTGGGATTTGCCTATAGAACGGAGCCTGTGCTGCATGGCTCACCCTACTGTCTTGCTTTGCTGGCAGTTTCTACAGGGAAGAAGGTTGGTGGAGCTGCTGCCCAGCAAACTGTGAACTACCCAGACAACCTGACCTACCGAGGTGAGTAGCTGTGGAGTTAGGGCTGTCAGAGGCAGGACTCTAAGTCAGGTTCAGGGCTGTGTAGTCCTAGTACCTTTCCTTCCCTTCTAGATCTCTACTACTTCATTTTTGCTCCTACTTTGTGTTATGAACTCAACTTTCCTCGATCCCCCCGAATACGAAAGCGCTTTCTGCTACGAAGGGTTCTTGAGATGGTAAGGTCTGGGCCTTGAGGGCTGGTATAGGGCAGGGCTTGGGGTGTGTGTGCAACTTAAGTCTCAGCTGGCTGCCCTGTTTCTCCCCAGCTCTTCTTCACCCAGCTTCAAGTGGGGCTGATCCAGCAGGTAAGAGGTGTGCCTGGGTGCACGCTGGGGCTTGTGTGGCTGAGGAAACTGATGTGGCGCTCTCCTCTGCAGTGGATGGTCCCTACTGTTCAGAACTCCATGAAGCCCTTCAAGGTGAGCTTGGGCCCCTGTGGCAGGGCTGGCTAGGGCAGGTGGTACAGCCAGCTGAGGCAGCCTCTCTCCGCAGGATATGGACTACTCGCGTATCATTGAGCGTCTCTTAAAGCTGGCGGTGAGTGTCAGAGGCTCCAGAGGGAGGAGTGTGAGGGATAGGTGGAGTCTGTAAGTCTGCAACCTGGAGTGTTGTCTCCTTAGGTCCCCAACCATCTGATCTGGCTCATCTTCTTCTACTGGCTTTTCCACTCCTGCATGAATGCCGTGGCAGAGCTTATGCAGTTTGGAGACCGCGAGTTCTATAGGGACTGGTGGTGAGTGCTGTGTCTCTGGGGATCTGGGTAGGTCATAGCATGTTCTGCTTATCCCATTGTTTCTTGACCCCAAGGAATGCTGAGTCTGTCACCTACTTTTGGCAGAACTGGAATATCCCTGTGCACAAGTGGTGCAGCAGGTAGGATGGTGTATGCACCTGAGGAATGTGGTTGTGGACCTGGGCCCTATGGCATTAGCCTCATCCTATGGCTTCCTTGCTCTGCAGACACTTCTATAAGCCTATGCTCCGACTGGGCAGCAGCAGATGGATGGCCAGGACAGGGGTATTTCTGGCCTCAGCCTTCTTCCATGAGGTCAGTACTATCTATGCATCCCACTTTACCTCTCGGTAGGGCTGTGGCCACCAGCTGAAACAGACTTCTCTTCTCCTTGTACTCTAGTACCTAGTGAGCATTCCCCTGCGTATGTTCCGTCTCTGGGCATTTACAGCCATGATGGCTCAGGTGAGCAACACCGAGCTTGTCTCTCTTAGCCTGAATCTGTGCCAGACCCATCTCCTGTGGTCATTGCATCCACCTGACTGTGGCCTATGTGTTCTCAGATCCCACTGGCTTGGATTGTGGGCCGCTTCTTTCAAGGGAACTATGGCAATGCAGCTGTGTGGGTGACACTCATCATTGGGCAACCAGTGGCTGTGCTCATGTATGTTCATGACTACTACGTGCTCAACTATGATGCCCCAGTGGGGGCCTGAGCTACTGCCAAAGGCCAGCCCTCCCTAACCTGGGCCTGGAGTTCTGGAGGGGTTTTTGGCTGCCTGCACACTCCTCCTGGTCTGGGAGGCCTCTCTGCCCCTATGGGGCCCACTCCTGCTCTTGGGGATGGCACCCGAGTCCGGCTGGTATGAGCCAGTGCTGGGAGTATGTGCTGACCAGGGGCTGAGGGAATCAATAAAGTGCTGTCTAAAAACTTTCCTTACTGGGGTTGTGGAAGCTGCTGAGGATTGACCTATACCCATATGTGCTGTGCAGCCACTGCTTCAGGGACTGAAATTCTCAGGCCCCAGCTTAGGGATATGGCGCTGGAAAGATCTGGGTCACACGGCTGCCATCACTCTACAACCCACAACCTCATGAAGTGTATGGACAAAGCTCTTGAGTTGCAGAACATGACACAGTAGGAGGCAGCAGCATGCAGAGGTGGCTGGAGAACAGTAGCCAAGCAACTAAGCTCAGGAAAGCTTAGTTCTTATTCTGCCCTTTTAATCCTTGCAGGTCCAGAGTTCAGAGCTATATGGATTCAATAGATGATGACCCTGTAGTGGGCTGCCTGAACTGTTTAGGACCCTTGTGAAGAGTCTAGTGGTCTAAGAGATGACATGCAGGGCTCATTTGTGTTCATGTTGGATAAATGCTGGGTAAATGCTGATTCCACTGTGAGACCACTAGGAACCTGGATCCCATTTCTAGAAGTGGAGCCCTCCATGGAGGACTTTGTGCACTGACTGCCTGGGGCCCAGGAGTTATTCACACTGTACCTTCAGGATCTGCCTCAACTCCTTGGGACCAGGCTGCTCAACAAGTTGGGCTAGTGGCTCTAGGCTGTGTTGCACTGGGGCCAAAGTTGCCTGGGCTTGGCCCACTCTTCAAAATAGCTTGGCTTTAACTGTAGACAGCTCTGAACAGAGGGGATACTTTGCCCCCAAGTTCTGGTAGCTGCCAAATTGGACAGGAATTGGACATAAGAATCTCCTTGGCAATCCGACAATCCAAGGTAGGTCCTCATCCTTGCCTTAATGGGGTCAATGCTCGTCAATTGCCAGAATCTTCCAGGCTGCAGACCCTAACCTACAGTTAGGGTGGGTATCTGGTGCTCTGCAGGGTGGTCAGTAATCTTAGCTGTTTCGGGACACAGGGCATGCACTAGGCCACCTGTGAGGCCATTTCTGTCTCTGTTCTCCTACTCTGAGACAGCAGGAACAAGTTCAGAACTGGACCAGTTGATAGATGGTGGGGGCGTGGCTCTGCCAAAATGTTCAGTGTACCTGTGTAGAGCACTTTTGATGACACAGGCAGACTGTCCTTTATGGTCCCTAAAAAAAGCTATAACAAATACTAGTCCTGTGGCATCAAGGTGGGTAGGCCTAGGGGTAACACCAAGGAGACAGGCACGTAGTGAGTTCTGGGCTCCTTGCCTACACACACCCCCACCTTCCGGACCCCTTGGGGAAGGAGGAAACACACAGGAGGCCACAGTAGAACCTGTCTGTTTATCATCTGCCATCTCTGCGTGTGCATATATATACATACATATATATATATTTATTTATTTGTGAACGGTTAAAGGGGACTCTCATGTAAAAATCCAAAATACAATTTTATGAACAACCTGCAGGGTCAGTCCAAGTGTGGCTGTGAAGTTCTGACCCAGAGCGTAGACCTGGGGTTGGGGAGGAGGCAGCAGGTATGCAGCCCTCAGGATCTTCCCCTTGACCCAAGGTACTGCCTAGGCTCAAGTCCCATCTGTGCTCCACTGGGGTTGTGGCTTGACCTAGGAGACTGCCCAACTGTCTTGTCTCCCCAGGACCAGCCATGTCCTAGGGATAGGTTGGGGGCCAGCTTGACAACTCCTGGGAACTTTAGGAGACAGTGGGGTCCTTGGCTTTTGGGGGTTCAGAGCCCGTCAGAAGAGATATGGTGGGATCGTCCATGTAGTCATCACCCTCAGAGAAGTAGGAGCTCTCCCCCAGCTCAAAGAGCACAGGCAGTTCGCTGCTCCCTGTGTCCACAGCATCAGGGTCCAGCAGGAACAGAGGCTGAGCCGTGTAGTGCACCAGCTGCTTCCCTGTGAGGTATGAGTCAGGATGGTGGGGGTGGGCAAGCTGGAAATGAGGGTTGGGAATGGGACAGAAGCTTAGCTCACCTGAGTCAGGGTTATTGTTTTCTGCCTCAATGGGCTTGGGGGGCTCTTGGGGAGACAGGAGCTCCTGAATCTGCAGGATAGAGAACACATAGTAAGGGTTGTTGATGGCCCCCTCTGCCCCCCACCCTGCCCGCCTACGCACGCTGGCCAGGCTGCTGTCCAGGTCAGGCAGGCTCATGTCGGGCATGGTCACCGAGGGGCTGAACAGCTGCGGGAGGAGGGAGGGAAGTCAGGGCTGGCTTGTTGGCAGGATGGGATAGGGGAAGTGGGGATCACCAGACTCACGTCCAGCAGGGCACTGGTGTCCACGCTGAAGCCGTGGCTTGTCAGCATGGTCTGCAGGTTGTCCAGGTTGGAGTCCATGGCATCCAAGTGATCACTTAGCTCGTTCCTGGCCCAGGGCAAGTGGGCAGGTGAACTAGTGCCCCAGGCTCCCACCCAGCCGCATTCCTGATGGAGAAGGGCTCCCCTTTGGCTGTAGCCCCCCAAAGCAAGGTCCATCTGCATAGCCAGCATGGGCCGGGGGACAGTGTGTGTGGACCTCTGGGAAGATGCTAGAAAGGGCAGTGGTAAGCTTGCCTTTCATGGCTGCTGATATAGCATGGCCCATGGGCAGGACAACCTAGGAGACTTTAGTATTAACTAAGGCTGGGCCAAGAGGGTGGTGGAGAAAAAGGGCAAGGGTCGTTGGCTCTAGAGATAGGCAGGAGAGCAGGCAGATGTTTCAGGTTTGACAGTCTTGCCACTGCATCAGGAAGAGAGTAAGGAGAGGAAACAGGACTGTGCTTGGCATGAGTAGACCTGAACTCCTTTAGACCAGAAGGCCTGAGCCATGGGCAAGGCAGTTAAAAGGGCTCTGTAGGTGCCATGGGGCCTACCCTATCCTGGCAGGAAGCTCATTGTAGCAGCCTGTATTGGTGGCTGGGCCAGGCAGGAAACTTGTCCCTACCACAGCCATTGGCTTGTGCAAAGGGGAGTCAGTGGAGATGCAGAGCCTGTGAGACCATCTCCTGGTGCTCTTCGCCAGGCAGGGCAAGTGCTATGCCCAGGTTGGGAACTGGTCCATGGCTGTGGGAGGGGCCCTGGCGGAGTCCTCCTCCCTCCCAAGTGGGGGGCAGCGCTAACCCTGGCTGGACTCGGCCATGCAGAAAGGAAGAGGAGGGGCAGGGGAAGAGGCGGGCGACCCCAGACATCTGTGGAGCGCGAGCCAAACTGCAAGATACAAAGACAAGAGCCCCCCCATTGCAGGCGGGGGACGGGGGGATCTACGCCCACCGTCCTCGCTCGCTCGCTTAGCTTTTGGGATGTGCCTGAGGGGTGGTCAAGGCTGGGCCCTGGCTCATCACTTCCTATGTCAGGTCTAGGGAAATAACAGATCCAAAGATCCTGGGGCTTGCCAGCGAGGGTGATGGCAATAGCGAGGGTGACCCAGGAGGCAGGGGCATAACCCATTTCTAGTGATGTAGTTAGTCTCCCTCCCCAGCTTCACTCAGGTTTGGGGGAACAGATCCAACCCATCACCCTCAGCAAACTGCAGGGATTGTTCCTTGCTAAGACAGACACCCTGTGTCCAGCCTGAGGAAATCCCATGCTGTGGGGTTCAGAGGCTATAGGGAGGCAGGGTGGGCACAGCACTCACTTGTCTAGGCAGGCTACGCTGAGGCACTTCTCAGGGGTAGAGGGAGGTTGGGGCGTGGGGGCATGGGCTCCGGTTGTGTCCTTAGGGGCTGTGTTTGAGGCAGCAGGGGTAAGCTCGCTCTCTTGAAGGATGGAGTCAATGAAGGCAGTTGGGGACAAAGGGGTATCCACAGAGGATGGGCGCCCAGGGCTCGCCTCCAGTACCCGAGGGCTCCGAGGTGGGCTGGGGGGTTCTTCTTTGACACGGATCAGGGTACTGCTGGACAGGGGCCTGAACATGTTAGATATTAGAAGACATGTTAGAAGGAGCCTAAGTTAGTTCCACCCACTTCCAACTCTGCTCAGGTCCCGTAAAGGCTGGCCCACTAAGGTGATGGGAGGGATAAGGGTACTACAGCCCCACCTCTCATCTATGCTCCTGCTTGGGGAGGCCAAAGGGCTGGAGGGAGCCAGCTCAGTGATATCGGAGATTATAGGTCCAGAGCTAGTGACAGCATCAGAGGTGTAAAGGCTAGAGCTGCTGTAGGCTGGAGATGGAGCCTGCAATTAAAGACAAAGGCCACATGCAAGGCACACCTGTGGTATAGCCTGGGCCACCCAGCACCCACTATACACTTACTGGCAGTCCCATGGAGCTTGGTGCTTACTGAGTATGGGCCAGGACCATGGACATGCTCCAGGGAGTACTGTCGACCATACTTGGGCACTGAGTGTGCTGAGCTGCTGTCACTCAACATCAGAGGGCTGCAGGGAAGAGACAGGTTAACTGCCTACACAGACCTTGGCGGTGCCCAGGATATACAGCAAGCAGAGGACACCAAGGTGCAGGGTCAGAGTGGACAGTGTAGGCATTCCCAGAGCCTCACATCTTTCTCTTCACCCCCAGGATCCGGTTCGACTGCACCAGTGAGATCAGGAACTGAATGAGCTGTGGGGCAGAGAGGATATAGTTACCCTGGCCCAGTCATGGAGGGGACCCACCTACCACCATCCCTGCCCACCTTGTTGACAACTTTTTGCTGCTGGGCATGCTTCTGCCGCAGGCTGGCCACCTCCCGCCACAGGGCCTCGTTCTCGCTGCAACACATTGCTGGGTCAATTGGGCCATATTAGAAGAGCTAGAGAGTCAGGCTGTTGCTGGACAGGGCGGGACCAGATGAGGGTTCACTGGCACCACTGACTCCCCTAGTTCTGCTATACTTACAGGGGAGGATTCAAATGTCAAACAGGGCTGAGGGAGGCATGGACAGAGTCTGATGGTACACCTCAGGAGCCTCGCTGAGAGGAGACTACAGGACTTGTCACATACTGGTTAGACACACAGGACAGGACAAGACTTTGGGAAAGATCCTAAACTGCTGATTACCCTCAGTTTGGGAGTAAAAGGCAGCTGAGAACTGTGATGCCTTGTACTGAGTGGTAAGGGTGGAGTAGGAGTCACTGGGAATGGAGAACAGTGGGGAGGTCTGACCGGAGGACTTCTCTCCTGCTAGCCCTGGCTTTAAGGGAGGCACCTGGAAAGAGGGTCTGTATGCTCAAATCCTGAAAATGTGGAGCCCGGCAGGGGAGGGAGAAGTGGTTACAGTAGGAAGTTCCCAGCCCCATTCTGGGTTTGGAGATGAAAAGGCCAAGAAGTTTTTGCAATACAAACAATAGAAGGCAGGTTAGGAAGGGGGAAGGAGGCTTGAATGGCTCTGCAGGGTGGGGTAGGACAGAGACCCAAAGCAACCTGGCCACCCTCCTGAGCCTTGGGACCTACTGCTTCATTGCCAAAAGCTTGGAGTCCATACACTCCTGTTTCCCCTTCATCAGCTGCACATCTGTCAACAGCCTGGTGACACTGTCCTGGCGTATTTTTATGTCCTCACTCTTCAGGGTGGACACCTAAGGGGTGGGGCATACAAGAGTTGAAAGTGGCTCTACAGTATGGTAGGCTCCTGTGCTTCACCTAGGCATCCAGGAAGTGAGGAGGGTCTGGGAAACACTGGGAGATGGGGGAAGCTCAGAGAGAGATGAGCACAGGCTATGCTTTTAGGCTAGTCCTGCAGCACCACTTAGATACTGCTCCCAGCCCAGAGCCTGCAGGGAGATCTGAGGACAGGGAAGGGGCTGTACTGAGGGCTGGTGGTGACTCACGCTGGTCACTTTCCTCTTGATGTTCTCAAGGAGCTGTTCCTGGCCACGTAGGAAACATGGATGCTGGAACTCGGTGTCATCCCTCTCAGGCTTGACCAGGCCACCCTGCTCAATGTGGACTACTTTTCGGAAGCCATCTGTGCATATGGGGGTGGGGCAGTTCCTGAGGGCCAGGGACCAGGCTCCAACAGCCTAGCCATGGCCTAGGGCAGGCAAAGGGCCTCCTAGTAAGATTCCTGCTGGCATCCATTTGCCACAGCAAATGGAAGTATGGCCAGGGTAGGGCCTCATATACTCTTCCCTGGGGAATTCAGGCTCACACCCATGAGGACCCTTCCTTAGCTGACCCCAGCCTCCATCTCTGGGCAATTCTGGGGTCTGTTTCTTCACACCCCAGGGAAGCAGGCATTATCCAGAAAGAGGTACTTACACATGTTGAGCTGCCGCACGAAGCTGGCCATGTTGTTGTGCTTGAAGTACTTGGGCAGCACCTCCTTGGCAAACTGGCCCTGGTCAAACACGTGGAAGCTGTTCCCACTCTGTCAGGAGATACATGGACAGGTCATATGTAGCAGCCGCACCATATTTCCACTGTGGCCTGAAGCATCTCTCCATGTGTGTTGGGCAGTGCACATTTTCCCTCCACATAGTGGTAGCAGAGGGTGGGCTGAACCTTAGGACTCCAAGGCTAGTATCCAGGCCATGGAACCGAGGTCTGAGGAATGAGGACCTTGTAGCCTGAGACAGGATCCTACTCCCTGGCAGTTTTCAGTTGCGAGGGTTAGACTTACAAATCATCCACAGAATTCTGGTCATCTCTAGGGACTGACTAGCATTTATTTTAATCAGCAAATTTTCCTAAGAATAGCTAAGATCAGCTGGAGAGATGGTTCAGTGGTTAAGAGTGCTTCCTGTTCTTAGTAGAGGACCTGGGTTTGTTTCCCAACACTCACATGGCAGCTCACAACTAACAGTAATTCCAAATTTCAGGTGAGCTGATGTCCTTTTTTATATTCCATGGACACTTGCATGCATGTTGTGTACACACACACACACACACACACACACACACACACACTCCTCCAAACTGCAACAGCCAAAGAAATTTGTGCTGCTCTGGAAGGTCCTGCTCAGAACCCGAGATTGTTGAACACTTGCATGGTTGCACTTCTGTGCTGGTGCTCTCCTGATCACAGTCCAGAGCCACTAGGAGGGGGCTGAAGGGCCAGGGCAACTTAGAGGCATTAGATACCAGAGTGGGGAGGCCCCCAGTGGGAAGAGGACAGTATTCTCATGGATGTGCAAGATAAACCAGCCAAGGCACAGTCTCTTTGCTGGGGTGGGAGAATACAAATGGGTAGAATCAATCGAAAGGATCCCAAGGTGTTGGGTTAGCATTAGGGCTGTTTTCCAACAGGCCGAGGGAGTGAAAAACAAGTCTAAACAGAAACAGTAGGACAAGTGGACACAGGAGGGAAAGAATCTAAAGCAGCAGGGAAAGCAACTGTAGGAGGTGTATCAGTGAAAGCAAGAGGCTCTTTACATGATTCATCCATTTTTTCCCCCTCAGCTTTGAAACCAGTGGAAGCAATAGCAGTGGGAACATGGGTGAAAGCTCACTCAAGGTCTTGGGGCTTGCTAGGAGACGCTCAAAGCAAGGTTGGTTTTGCTTGACCTGAGGCTGTCTTTTAAAAAAGGATTTATTTTTATTTTACATGCATTGGTATTTTGCCTGCATGTGTTTCTGATCCCCTGGAACTGGAGTTACAGACAGTTGTGAGCTGCCATGTGGGTGCTGAACCCAGGTCCTCTGGAGGAGCAGCTAGCGCTCTTTTTCTTTTTAAAGATTTATTTATTTATTATGTATACAATGTTCTGTCTGCATGTAGACCTGCACATCAGAAGAGGGTATCAGATCTCATTATAGATGGTTGTGAGCCGCCGTGTGGTTGTGAGGCACCATGTGGTTGCTAGGAATTGAACTCATGACCTCCGGAAGAGCAGACAGTGCTCTTAACTTCTGAGCTATCTCTGTAGCCCCGCAGCCAGCGCTCTTAACCACTGAGCCATCACTCTAGCCCTAGGGGAAGATTCATTCATTCATTCATTCATTCATTCATTCATTCATTCATTCATTCA